GTGTAGATGCTGGGACCAAGTGTGTTTTGGTTCCTGGAGAGTCCTAGAAGCATCAGGAGCAGTGGACATCATTGGACAGATACGGAAGTAGAGCAGCGCAAGTGAAAAGAATTAAGCTTGTCCAAGGGGTGCGGAATTATCCTCCAGACTATGCTTTATACCAGTTTCCTTTGGAAGTAGACAGTGTTTGCTTAGTCTAGGCCCTTTTCAGCAGCTAGATATGGCCAACAGAGAAGCAGAGGCCTACTGCAGTGTCAGCCTGAAGACTGTGAGACCCAGAACCCTGCTTGACCAGAGTGGTGGGTGCAGTTGCACAGCCAGTGAGAGCATGACCCTGATATCATTTGGCTCTGGTCAGGCCAAGTGCTAGAAACCAGCATTGTTGAGCCACTGAAATTGTGAGTGAGTGAGTGTGTGTGTGTGTGTGTGTGTGTGTGTGTGTGTGTGTGTGTGTGTGTGTGTCTGTAGCAGCTTCCCGGGCAGTACTCCAGGATGAGGAAGGATGATGGCTCATGGAGCATAATGATGAAAGACAGAGTTATACAAAGTAGTGCTTATCACCCATGGTGCCATGCGCCACAGTGCTCTTTTGAGGAAATGACTGATAGAAGCAAGGGAATCCTTTTATGGACCTTGCTGACATTAAAAATAATCACCTTAGCTAATGAATCCTAAGACTACTTGGCACTTTCTGGAATTCATGGTTGTGGGTGTTCAATTTTGCTTTTACTGTTGTTGTAAGATGACAAAAAATAACTTGGAGAGGAAAGGGTTTATTCATCTTACAGGTTTCAGTCCATCATTAAGGGAAACCAAGGCAGGAACTTGGAGTAGGACCTACTGAGGGAAAAACACTGCCTGCTGGCTTGCTTACCCTCACTCATGCTCAGTTGGCTTTCTTTTAAAAATATTTCATTATATTTATTTTTTAATGTGTATGTGTGTATTGCCTGCATGTATGTATGTGTACCTGTGTCATGCAATGCCCTTGGGAGTTCAGAAGATGGCATCTGATCTCCTGAAACTGGAGGTACAGACAGTTGTTAGCCACCATGTGGGTGCTGGGAACCAAAGTTAGGTCCTCTGCAAGAGCAGCCAGTGCTCTTAACGACTGAGTCATCTCTCCAGTCCCCCCTTTTAATATTGTCTTTATTATTTCTAACATCCAGCTTTCTTATACAACCTAGGACCACCTGCCCAGGAATGGCACTCCCACAAGGGGCTGGGCCATCATACATCAATCAGCAAAGAAGAAAGTGTACCATAGCCATGTCCACAAGACAGTCTGATCAAGGCAATCCCCCAAAGGTGTCTCCAACAGATAACTCTGGGATGTATTAAATGGACAGTTAAAGCCAACTAGACAGTGGGTCTTAGAGATCCTGCCCACCCTCAATAAATTTCATTCACTATACATTATGCAATCAGAGATTTAGAAAAGTATCTCAAATGTGTACAAGTACACCTTAAAACCTGAGGGTGTGAAATCACTCCATACAAGAATCAAGGGTCATATACAGATTTAAACTCCTGGGACGATACCTGTGGAGATTTGGAGAAATTTTCTCCATAGGCTCAAGTATTTGAACACATGGTCTCCAGTTGGTGGCACTGTTTGACAAGGTTTAGGAAGAGTGCCCTGTATGGAGGAAGTATGTCACTGAGGGCAGGCTATAGACTCTCCTTCTGGAACCAAAATAAGCCAAAATAAACTGTTTTATAAGTTGCCTTTTGTCATGGTATTTATCACAGCAACAGAAAAGTAATGAATGCAAAACCCAATAAGGAGCCTGTGAAAAATTCTACAACAGACTATGCCTATAAACATTAAAAAAAAATGTTAAAAGTTTAAAAGAAGGTGACCTGCATAGATGCATAAAGTCACTACCAAAAGCCATATGGGTAGTAAGTGAAACTCCCATTGTCACAAATGGGGTAGCTTCTCTTGAATTGTTGGTTTGGGAGGTCCTTGCTACCCATACATAATAAAATGTTGCTACTGCTGTTGGTTGTATAACCAAAAGAGACAGGAAGACATTATGGCTGAAGGCAAGACAATGGAAGCTTTGTTCGAAGGACATAGAGAAATCTAATTTGACCTGATATGGAAGCTTGTTCAGGGTGGCTAGCATGCTTACTCTTGGAAGCTACTATGAAGGCTGCTGGGGAATTGCCACCAAGATGTTCCTCAGCTATGGACCCAGCACGTTAAAGCTATGAAAATGTCAATATGTGCCCACTGGTGCAATGAGTACAACAGTTTTCAAATAGGATTTAATGTACACTCCATGGGAGAGCACTGTAAGACAAAAATCTGTGAGCGGAAAATCCAGAAGCCCTAATGGGGTAGCTACTGCTATTGTTTTGTTAAATGATATGATGTGCTCACAAAATTGCCTTTTCAACATCTCTCTTTGTGCCTATAGATAATTCCTGCTGTTGATTTTTAAGACAACCTTTTGAAGTTGACAGTGTTTATTGTAGAGACTCATAATCAACAAGTCAAACTGCTGATGAGACAAATTGACTCTTGCTGTGGCATAATGACCCAATGATCAGCCCCAAATGGGAGAAGCTAATAAAATATTTATGTGATCCTTTTAAAGTCAGGGAACATTTTGGAAAAGGGTGAAAAAATGTAAGAGCTGAAGAAGGGAGTGAAATGTTATGGAATACTTTCCAGACAAGACATGGTGGTTCTACCAACAGAAATCAGAGCAACTGGGACTACCCAGAGGAAACCCTCATAAGATAGAGCCCATTGGTGTTCCCTTGTAGGAGGAAGAACTGGGAAAATTGTTAGACCCTCCTTTGGGATTTCAGCCACTCCATCTTGCACGTTCCTCCCAGCTCTATGTCAGCATGTGCCTTCATGTGGTCTCAGGAGGTGCAAGAGCATATAGAAAATAGAATAGTAACTTACGGGGTACTTCATCGACGCAGCTTGCAGGAGGTTGCCACCCATATTGGGCTAGGACTTCAGTCATGAAGTTGTTTAGGGGAGCCATCCACATTCAGAAAGTAACCCTTCACTCATGTTCCTATTCATAAGCTCATTAAAGTCAATGATTTATTAAACTGTACTTGAATGTAATCATTCCTTTGGGGCCCTATCTGGAATGAATAGACATCAGTTCACATCTCCCTACACCAAGTAACAATACAGCTTATGCAGGGCTTTTTATATTGACTTCTGAGTATTTCACCTTGTGACTATTTTATCTTTCTGTTACTGTGTTCTTGTTTTAATGACTACCTTGCCACTACAAGCAAAATAATTGACCTACAGGAGAAGTTCCTTCAAGGAATGCATGGAATATGTTTGCTTATAAGAGCATAATTTAACATTTGTGGATGAAATCATATTCAAAAGCTTCAAAGACCCTTAAACCTATCTCAGGATGCTACAATATAATCTTGTGAAAAAGCCCACATCCAAACCAAGTGTTTTTATAAATCTACTAATTAAACCTTATATTTGTGATGTTTGATGTTATCAAACACTTTTTGTCATTATTCATCGGCTTTGAAGGCCTGAAGTGCCAGAGTGGCCTCTTATGTGTTTATTTTCAAGGTGAAAAAAAAACCCCAATATCAGCATTATGCTAATCCATATTTTTATTGTTTTTAGGTTGAGACGGTTTCCCTGTAGCCCAAGCTGGCCTGGAACTTCCTATGTAGAGCAGGCTGGCCTTGATCTCACAGAGATCCATTTTCCTCTCTGCCTCCTGAGTGCTGCGATTAAAAGCTTATGCTACCATGGCCCACATTTGTTGATTTGTTTTAAAATTTCAGGTTTCTGACAACTTTTTTGAAAGTAAGTAAAATGTGTCTTAGCCTTGTAGTCTCCAGAACACACAAGATACTTTAATGAAAGAGCAAATGAATTTCTAAATTTCAAGTGGTTGAAAATAAAATAGCATGCAGGATCATACCAGCCCTCTATAAAAGCCCCTACATTTTCTCTGTGTTAGGCACCAAATGGGACACAAAAGCCTATAGGGTTACACAGCCACGAGACAGTTAATACCAAATATGACTTTGTATATATCTACATGGGCTAGTATTTAAAAATATAAATCCATATATAATTCATTCTATTCCCTCCAAAAATATTATTTTTGAATCAGGTGACATGGCTCTGAACATGCATGATGTGTGACTATCTTGTTTTCCACTATTAGCTTTCAATAAATACTTTCATATTGCCAAGAAACTAGAAGTATGTGTGCTTTTCTTTGAGTAATTTTCCTGCTTTTTCTTCTCCACTGGACATGAAGATACTTGGATGGGTTATTCAGATCATATGACTATGCCCATATGTACAACACACTGTCCCACATGCATTCCACATATGTCCCACCCTATCCCATGTGAGTCTATGTCTATATGCCCAACATAGTTAGAGGAAATCTTATCAATTTCTAATTTCACAAGTCTAGCCATAAAGGGATTTATTTTTGGATTGTGTGTGTGTGTATGTCTGTCTGTGTCTGTGTGTCTGTCTGTGTGTCTGTGTGTGTGCTCTGTATGTGTTAATGTGTTCAAGTGCATTCGGAGGCCAGAGGTCAACAGTGGATATCTTCCTGAGTTGTTCCCCCTTCATTTTTTTGAGACAGGATGTCTCAATGTGGAGCTGTGATTTGGCTAAACTGGCTTGTCAGAAAGCTCCAGAGATCCACTTGTCTACCCCCGCTTCCCCCACACCCTCCAGTGCTGGGGTTACAACAGCTTTTACCAGGATTCTGAGGATCTGTACTCAAGCCCTCGTGTTTGCATGGCAAGCACTTTACCGCATCTCCACGGCTCTCAGAAAGAGATCTTACTGGAATGCATATATCTTTCGATTCTTAATACAACAGAGAGCATCTCTAACATCTCCTAATTAGTGCAGTCTTCCTTAATTTAAAGAAGTTAATATTCCTCAAATGAGCCCCAATTCCAAAGCATTATACTTGTATATTTCAATAATGACACCAACCAATAACTGCAAAATTTTATTTGAAAGGCCAAATGGTTCATTACAGAATTTTTGATAAAACAAATAGTCTGAAAGATTAACTTGATAGGTTTAGAGTACAGGTTGAATACAAGTTGATTCAAACAAGAAAATATCTTCAACAATTCAGAGTACATAAAAGATCCCATTGAGAATATGTGGCATTATTCCTTCTCCTACTGATGTCTTAATTAAATCAATCTTTTAATTTTTGTGTTATGTGTATGTGTATTGTATGTGTATTTTATGTATACATGTGCAGGTGCGTGTGTGTATATGCACAGAGGCCAGAGGACAACAACCAGTGTTGTCCTCAGGAATACTAGTCACCTCCTTTGAGACAGGGTCTCTCATTGGCCTGAAGCTCTCCAATTAGGTTAGAGTAGCTAGCCAGCAAGTTAGAGAGATCTATTTGTGTCCCCTTCTTCAGCACTGGGATTGACAGTGCCCAACACCATGTCTGGCATTTTTATGTGGCTTTGGGGGATTAAACTCAGGTCCTCACATTTGGAAGGCATGAGCTTTACTAACTGAGCCAGCCTCAGTCTTCAAATAAATGAATCTCAGCACAAAACATGACTTTGTGATCAATTTTTGTCAGAACTGGTCATGCTTGAAAGTATTAAAATGTATGTATTTTATGTTTGTGTGTGGGGAGGTGAGTGCACGCATGATGTTGCTCTGCCTGTTTTACTGCCTTAATGATTTTCCCTTATTAGTTTTGCTTTTAGGATCTTACCTTGCTTGAACAAATACATACACTTAAAATTTTCTTATCAGCCCTACGCAGTCAACATTTTCTGCTTTTCAAAATTTCTAACAGTGCCTTTTATTACAAGGGCTTTGGTGAAAAAACTAAATGGAACTTGGATAAAACCATACTCTCTTACCAGTGGTACTCACAACTGTCAAAACATTTGTGCTTCAAAACACAGGACTGAGGAAATTGGCTTTCAGGAGTCCCCATCCACATTTCTGCTATGGGTTGAGGCTTCCAAGTACTGTTAAAAAGTGAAGCACACATGACCTTTCCCCTATTACAAAGTACAGACTACGAAATGCCATTGTCCCTTCTCTTTCTTGTTTTGCCTGTGAAGAGTTTAAAGATACCACATGGATTTACACCTACATTGGAAACACTCATTATTACTATTCATTGCTAATGAACAATAGTAATAATTTTTTTTTCAATTCTATATACTTGGCCACCCGACTCTTTAATCTCCCTTCCTGCTAGATGCCAAGTTTCTCTTCATTAGTACTTTATCCTTTGAAGCTCAGTTACAGATTTATAATGTTTCCTATGTGGTTACCTTAGGACAACTTCATAGATTCTGTAATTTCATCATCTCACTGGAATAACTGCCACAGAGAACAATGGGAGTTGAGTTACTAAAATAATTTTTACTTTATTACTGCCTTAAACATATGATTTTAAGATAAAACTTAACTTTGAGTAAATATTATGAAGAAAAAAAAGAATTCTTAAAAGACTTGTTCATACATACTACTTAAATGAGAAAAAAAATCTGAAATTCAAACATAGCAAGCTCCATTTGCCCAGCAATGAGGTACTTGCATGAAGTTCCCCAAGGCCTTTTGGTGTACAAATTTTTAAAAAGACTACTTCTAAGGGAATAAATTTGATGTTAACGTTTGCTTATCTTAAAAGGCTACTGTAATTAAAAAAGTAATTTGAATTGTAAACAGTCAAGAATATGCCAGTTTCAGGATCACATTATGTGTCACAGTAACAGAAATGTGGATCACATTTTTATCTTTAACTCGTGGATTCACGTTCTCCTGCATTTTAACATTAATATAAATCATTAGGAAAATGAAATCTTCATTTCTGGCAAAAAGATGCCAAGAAATGATATGCTATCATGAAATCACACACAGTCAGCTGCTTTTGGTTTTGGTTAATCAGGTAGTTTAAAAATCATTATTCCACTAGCAATGTCTTCAGATTTTAGAAGTAGAACTAGAGGAATTACTGAGGTATACTTGGTGGTAGTTCTGTGGCTTTCTATATTGCCCTAGAACTGACCATGACATTGAGGATGGATATGCATAAATTATGCTATTTATCAGGTAGTAGTTACCATAGGTGAGCAAATATCACCTATTTATGGCGTCTATAGCATATTTGGGTATGGACTGGCATGAAGTTCACTACTCCAATTTTGCAAACTTTGATATACAATGAAGGTTATATTGTTCTAAAAGTCTTTAAATATGAAAAGTTTCTAAATATGAAATTATCACTGACATTCTTTTAGTTTCTGTGTTTATAGTGATAGAACTGTGAAATCTAAGTATTATTCACGAAAGTTATTTTATTTTAATGCATTGCTTTTGTTTTGTTTAATAACTGGAAGGAAATTTTACTGGGTAAAACTATTTGGTGCTTTCTACTATTAGAAGGTTAATAATTTTCAAAAATCAACCAATCTTGGGGACAGAATTTGACGCCTATTTTAAAGTATTTTTTAAAAAAATCTTTCTACAGTACATGTGTATTGGAGTTCAGTCCTGTATTCAGGCTTTCAAATACATTATTTGATAGGTTGGAAAACAGCTAGTGCACGTATTTGGGAGTTCAGGGGAAACCCAAGCATCAGAGGCTTTCTTTTTTTAATCTTATATAGAGAAAACCTGCTTAACAAGGAGCAAAAAAGACTACATGTGCTCTCTAAGAATGGGCTTAATTACGGAAAATGGGTGGCATGTCCCCATTAATCACTGGAATTTTCCTTGGGCATACAGGTTGTTCAACCTTCGTCTAGGCTATAAAAGTCATTACAATTTTTGCCTCGTGATCTAACCTTTGCTTGGAAAAACAATCATATGTTTTTCTATTGGTTTTTCTCTTTTAGAAAGGTTTTTTTAAGGGCCAATTCATTTGAAAGCTGTTTGTAATACAATTAATAACAGGATTTTTACTCCATGCTGTAAATCTGAATACAGATACTGTCCAAACTGTCCTAAGAATAATATTTGAATTCACAGTAACAAAAGTTACAAAGTTTGTGCAAAACATATTGTACACCAGTGGAGTACACAGAGCTTGCTATCATTAATTTTATTTTTAAAGCTGCATTTCTTATTAAAACTATTCTGTGCTACATTAAAAGTCTTGGATTAAATTCTTCTCTAATGATAAAACTTAAATCTGAAGATGCAATGGTATATATGTGATGTGTGTAAATGTTGTAATAAATCATTGGAACCTTTTAAACATCATAATGGTTTTGGAGCTCTTCAAGTTTTCCGAGGGTCATAAAGTAAACCCGGCTGTGATGATTACGGAGAGTAGAAGTAAAGAACAGCTTTAAAAAGAAAAAGAAAATCATTGTCAGTATAAATATACACTTTAACTAAATATGTAATAAGCAAATCTTTAAGTGCCAATAAATAACTATAATCTCAATTAATCTGGGCTTTGGCTTTCTTTTTTAAAAAAAATATTTTATTATTTTTATTTGATATGTACGAGTGTATTGCCTGCATGTATGTGAGTGCATCCATGTCATGCAATGCCGTGGAGGTCAGAAGAGGGCTTTGGATTCCCCTGGAACTGGAGTTAAGGATGGTTCATAGCCGCCATGTGGGTGCTGGGAATCGAACCCGGGTTCTCTGCAAAAGCAGTCAGTGCTCTTAACTGCTGAGCCATCGCTCCAGCCCCAGCTATGGCTTTCTAATTAAAATATTAATCCATCTTGTTTGAAGCAGGTTATCTTCAATTTAAAGAATATAAATTTCAATTAGTTTGGAATTTAAATTATATGTCAAAATAATCTTTTGGCATAATCTATATAATTGTAATGCATATAGTTTGATTTATTTTTATATTTATTTTTGAGAATGTCATACATGTTTATATCAAAATATGATCATATCCACTCCCCTCCAACTCCTTCCAGTTATCCCAACATGTCCCCCTTCCCAACTTCATAACTTTTTTTTACTTATAAACAACTGAGTCCAATTAGTGTTGCCCATATATGGATGGTTGTGCGGTCATCCACTGGATCATGGGCATCTTAGCAGTGGACACATCCTAAAGTAGAATGATTCTCCTTTCCTTGGCAGCTATCAACTGCTATAAAAGATTTGTTAGAGGTGGTGTTCATCTGCTGAAGTTCTACATTAGTTTTGGTTAACAACATTTTTCTTTAAACAAATCTAATTTAACTCAAATTGGCTTTCCTTTTAATATAAGGAATCAAATTATTTTAATGTCATTTTCCGCTGCTCCTGCCATTTAGGAAGCTACTGACATCTGCTTGGTGCATGTTTCTACTTCAGTGAAGTGAACTGACACCAACAAATTGATACAGTGAGGTAAATGCAATGGATTATAAAGGAACATGTTGTAGAAACATGGGTTTTTCCACAATAACGAAAATGAGAACAGAGCACAGATATACCTATAATTACTATTGTATTTCATAACTTGGCATATTTCCCTTACATGTAGTGATTCTGCATTGATTTTCCTGATAGTAACTTGAATTCTGTGCCATCTTTGGCAATGATTCTAAATAATATTAAGATGATTTCTTCACATTATTATTTCTTAAAATATAAACTGTCGGGATTATAATGCTTTTAGGGGGGAGATTATAATGCTTAAAAGTGATGAAATTTTCCATTTGGCTATCAATGATAGCTAAAATTGATCAAATTTCACAGATAATTGACAAAACTCAATTCTAGTTCTTTCCTGAAAAGATTTATCACTATACCTACTTGTGAAGGTACTTTGAGACATCTTCTAAACAGCAAGCATAATGCCTAACATAATTAGATGTTTAACAAACACAAGTACTTTTTCATTCTTCCATTCTTGGAATACGCTGGTATGGAGGTGTCCCAAAACAGTAATGGTTATACCATGTGATCTAGCTATTAGATATCTAAGTATATATCCACAGGAATTGGATGCCAGCATATCAAATAGATACTTGTATAGACATGGTTACTGCAGCACTATGCATAATAATTTATGAATCAAACTAGGTATTCATCAATAGATGAATAGATAAAAAGAATGAAATCAGTCGGGTGTGGTGGCGCATGCCTGGAGTCCCAGCACTTGGGAGGCAGAGGCAGGCGGATTTCTGCAAGTTCAAGACCAGCGTGGTCTACATAGTGAATTCCAGGATAGCTGGGGCTACAGGAAGACCCTGTCTCAAAAAGACAGGTGAGAAAGAGAGAAAGAGAGAGAGAGAGAGAGAGAGAGAGAGAGAGAGAGAGTGAAATCCTGTCATTTGTAGCAAAATGCTTGGGAGCGGAGAGCATTATATTAAATAAAATAAGACAAAAAATAGTAACAAAAGAGTACACTGATCTTTTACACATGTGGAAGATAAAAAATTGATCAAGACATTAGGAATGGTATGGGAAGCAAGGGAGATAAAGGGACTTTGGGCTTTAAAATATATAGGCCCAAATCTTTTTGGACCAAAAGGAAAAGGATATAAATTCTTTAATTTCGATGGTTTTCTTTACTGAATGGTAAAAACTGTACCTTGTCACCCCTGGTACACAGAAATCTCAGTTTCTTGATTGACCTGCGCTTCAGCTCATTTTCCAGAACTCTTGACTGCAAGGAACGTGCTTCAATAGCCTTTTGGCCCCATCCTGTGGTTCTCTGTGTACACTCAAAAGCTGTAACAAACACACCACACACACACACACACACACACACACACACACACAAAATGTCAGAAAAACAAAATTTGGTAGCAATGACAGCGTATTCAACTATTAAGAAGTTCATAGTTACAGGTTATATTAGACCCATCTGTTGTTTAACCTTATGTCTGTCATTTGCATATTTTGCCTCTGAGGAGTAGTATTCAAATCAGCTATCTAAAGCTACCACAGTGACCAACACTGACTTGCTAGACCTTTGTTAAATATTATATTTGTATTATCTAAGATCACAGACAAACTCAAGGGTTAATTTTATTCCTTTTGTAGACATTCAGATCTACCCATGACTGTTGCTTTTATTTGATAGTTTAGTTTACATGCAGTGTCATAACAGATATAAATTGAGGGTTCCCTATTTTGGTGATATATATGAGAACCTGAAAAGAATGCTAAATTTTTAATCTTGTTCAAATAAGGAATTAATAATCCTAATTTAACAAAAATATTGTCCTTTCATAAGCAGAACTAAGGTTGATTTGCTACAGTTAAGGTCGTTTTTCATCTGCTGAGGAAAATGTATTACATTTTAAAGTTTTTGGACTTATTTCATAATACTTTATGACAACATAGGTTGTGAAAACACTGTCTAAAAGCAAAAATTTAATTATGCAAATAGCCATATACTCAGTTGTTTCCGTGAGGTATTTTATAGCGCAAGAAGCAACATTACCATTAAATGTTTAACTTTCAAATTACTATTCTTTATCAAATATTAGGGAAGAAATTTTGCATAAATAAATCAAATGACAATATTTAAAAGAACACAATTTTAACTGAAGTTAAAGCAGTTTAGAAAACAAAGAAATATTGGACTTTGATTTCTATAATGGTGTGATTAAAACTAAAATTCATTATTAATGACTTTTCCATTTTCCTCTCTTTTGAAGGAGAAAATCTGCATTAGTACAGTTATGTCTTTAAAAAAGTTTCCTTATCTTTATGAAATGTTCTCTGGTACTCTTGTTTAAACAAAAATTGACTTGGCATATGTATACATTAGACAAAGAAGAACGTATGAAGGAAAATAGCTATTGTGAAAAAACTTTATTAATCTAATTTCGGACCAGAATTAGATTCACCCCAGGAAGTAAAATGAACCAGTGGCTTGACTTGTAGAAACTAGTAACAGATTTATCATATATGAAGCTGAATTTTTCACTCATGTGACTACTTCATTAAAATAGTATTCTTCTCAACAGCTGCATAGTAAAACTTTCTTACTTAATCCAGTCTATGGGCCGAGTCCAAAACCCAGTTTATACATCACCGCATAATTTTCACTTAAGTCCTGAAACTCCTAAATCTGCCACTTAACCTAGATATTTACTGAGCTAGTTTGCCTTCTGAAATGGGACTCAGAAATTGGGAAGTAGAGATATTTGTTCAAACTTTCTGCATCAGGTAAGCTTTTATACATTTATTTGGAAATAAAGTACATTGATATTGTAATAGAAAACATTCATCATGGTTTAAAGAAATGTAAATTTTAGATTAGGAAAATCTAGATATGAGGTATTTTTAAATAACAAGGTATTTTGGACAGAAAACATTAAAGTATTTCCTTAATATCTGTGCTATATTAAAATATATTTTAAAGAAACCAAAATACGTGCTTATAATGCTATAACCTATTTTACATACACATGTCTTTCAAATCCTACTGAGTCTAAATAGCTTTCTGAACTAGGTCAGAAATCCTGCCCGAAGACAAGAGTTGTAGTAGATGACTTTTTATGATCCCTTTTACTCCTATGACTGTCTAGTGGCATAAATATTGGGGGTATGGTCATCAGTTTCCCATTTTGAACTAAGCTTCTTCATTTTCATTTCTGATTAATATACTTCTTGAGATTTTGAGGATAATAACCCAGCAGCTTGCACATTGTAAGCAGGCATTCTTCTTCTGAGGGATATCACTAGTCTCTGTTTAGCAAATTGTTCCTGAAAGTATCACTGTAAATGATATAGCATGATTCATCACTTTTACTTTCTTTTGCCCTACCTAGATCTGTCAGTTTTACCAAAAGCATTTAACGTCTGTCACTTATAATGGTTTAAAACTCACTGTGAATTCTTACCTGTTTGAAGAAATCAGAGCAAGTTTTCAGGACAATCCTTAACACTGACTATATATGAAAAGAAATACAGAATTCTGCAGATGCAATGCAAAAATCCTATCATCTCATAGGAAAAATGTTCAAAAAATGGTTCTTTCAAACTGGTTCTTAATGTAATGTGGGTGTCACATTTATGCATTTTAGACATTTCAGAGAATTCTGACCTCTCTCTGGACTCTGTCTCTATCTCTCTGTCTCTATTTCCTATGATGAACTCTGTCTCTGCAAACACACACACACACACACACACACACACACACACACACACACACAGAACTGTTATCCCTGTTGATCTACCCACTCTAATATTTAAACTATTTGTATGCATTCTGTTCTCTGGTTACAAATCCTAGAAACACACAAAAGAATCTTATATTATTTTTATTTCTCAGAAGAGCAGTCCTTCATTGCTTAGGAAGAAAAAGTGTTCTAGTCTGAGAAGGTAGTGTGCCCTATGTTGCCATCTTTGTGACAACTAATAGGTATTCCAATCCCTTGTATCTATCTTTTTATCTAAATGATTTGGTTCTTCATATAAATACCACTCATTGAGCATAACATTGTTGACTGAGCAGAAGAGAAAATTTTTGAGTGTGCAAGACTCTAAATTACCACTATGTGACTTGAGAAAATGAAACAATTAAGAAAAGCTAAATTAGGGCATATTTTCATCCTTGAAAAGCTTCCCTGGGATCAAGTGAAACAGTAAGAAATTTTGTACATACCTAAGGAAGATGGTATGTCTTTCCACACTTCAAGGATCTTCTTGATGAGCTGTTCATTTGCTTCCACAGAGGGTGCTTCAGCATTGAAGGTGAGCATCATGCCAATTCCCAAGCAATCAGGCAAAATGAGGATATTCTGTGGTATAACGATTTCCAGGGGCTGGAATTATGTTTCATAAAGCTGTATGTGTCTAACATCTTATCACTATTACTACTTTAATTGAGGCAACATGGCTCAGGAATGAAGATCAAAGGATGTTCAAAGTGCAAGGAGAAATGTAACCAATATTTCTAAATGAAATATAATGGATTAAACTTAATATTTGTAAAAGAGTTGCTTTCGTTATGTCACAAAGCCACAAGTTTTAATATACTATTTCATATTTAGAAGAATAATTTGAAAAAATGTGTAGAGATATATTTCCAACAGAGAAATTTCTTATTCCACAAACTTATATATGGTAATAGAAAAAATATTACAGACTTGGATTTAAGATTTCTTTCAACAGTTAAAGAATGTCTTCTTAACAAATAAGTGAAAGAAGTAGCAAATATATTATCATTGGTCATCATCAAATTCATGAAAATAAAAGATGGAAAAATAATCCCAAAATAGCTTGAGCTTAAAATGTAAGGGAAAAGGTTTAATAATAGTCATAAGTTGTTTTATAATAGTGATTCCCCCCTTTGAAGAAAATGTAGAATTTCTCATTCAATTCATATAATGTTAAAATAGGCACAATATGCAAATTCAGAAATATTGGGTGACATAAGAAATACCAAGAAATAACTAAGCATTTGTATATTTCCAGATGCATAAGTGTGACAAAATTTGCTTAAAGCACAGATATTTTCACATTAACAGCATTTCCCTGAGAAATGAAAACTTGCGCTCCTCTACTGTTTCTCCAAATTAGCAAGCTACAGAAAAAAGAAGGTCGGAAACTATACTTGCCAAACCCAGCGAACTCAGGCCAAGTGCTTGAGGCCATGTCTCAGCAACAACAATCCTTAAAACTAAAATGGGAATCCAGAGGCAAAAAGCAATTTTTATGCGTTCCCTGGGCACTTGCATGAGCAGTTGAGTCAGAAAACAGTTAAGAAAGAATAAAAGGAAATACAAGAAATAAAGTTGTCTCAATAAAATCTGTTTACAATAAAACTGGAATGCTGCAAAACCAGACAGCCTCTGAGGTAATTCTCTGCTTCTCAGATGATTTCTGAAGTAACCGGATATTCTTTAGCAGGCATGACTCCCTTGTAACATTACGGCTTTTGTAATCTAGCACTTTGGGGAAAATATTTTTAGCACATTCTGTTTCAGAAGCTACTCTCCTCTCCCTTATATTAGAGTCCTTTCTATTTTAATGGGTCAAGGCACTAGGGAATTTATCTAAAAATATGTTTTCATATATATGAGGTATTCTAATTAGGTCAGAACATGATTTGTAAAAATCTCTCCTCTCACTCCAGTTTCTACATTAATTCTCTGATTGTTTCAAAAGCAAATAATTTTCCTTGCTTGCACATAAGATTCAAATTCTTCAATTACTTTGTTTTCCCTTTGAGACAGTGGCTCATTTAAACCAGGCTGACTTCAAACTTGCTACATAGCCAAGGCTGACCCCAAATCTTCTGATCCTCCTGCCTATATTTCCAAAGTAATGGGATTACATGTATATATCAATAGGCCTTTGTTAGGCTATTCAAGTAAGTGTAAACTTAAACCAACACTCAAATGTTTATACTGCCCTGGCTTCAAAATACAGATTATTTAGCCAGGTGTGGTGGCACACACCTTTAATCCCAGCACTCAGGAGGCAGAGGTAGGTAGATCTCTGTGAGTTCCAGACCAGCTGGGGTTACAGGGAGACCCTGTCTCAAAAATGAAGATAAATAAAGTCTATCTGCAATGTCCTAAAATTATAAAATTCAGGAAGTTACAGAAAACAAATCAACTAAAGAATAATGCATATATTATAATAATGTGTGAATTATTTTGTACTTCTTGTTGAGATTTGGTTTAATATTTTCACAATACAAATAGGGTGTATTGTGTATAACCATAGGCAACTACTGAGTCATTAGTTAATAATTGTCCATATTACTAAAATACCTTTGAAAATGTCTCCATCAGTGTTCGGATGATTGCTTTATGTAATTGTACTAACTAATTTATTAGAGACACATGGTATATTCTTAAAAATGTTCAAAATATCATATGAATAGAGCAATTAAATTACATAAATGTTTTGTACAATAATGTTTACATAATGATAAGCAGCTAAAATTTTAATGTCTACAGACAGGATATCAAGAAAAGATGAAGCAAAGAACTACTCACTAAGGAATTCCTTTTATAAATATAATTTTCAATAGGATAAGCATCAATTCCAGTATCAATATTTTGTATGATGAATGTTTAGGGAGTATGATGCTATGGTTAAGCTTCTTATTTTAATGATAAATGTTATTATTATCATTATCTATTAGAAGTTGAGGTGTCTTTATTTTCAAAATATTGAATCTTTGACCATAAGTTCCAAATATAATGAATAATAAGAGAACATATTAGAACATATTAGAATAATTTGCTACATTCTAAAGCTAAAGTAATAGATTAAAGAGGGAGATATGTGTAAGAGTGAAGTAAGTTGATATTCATAGATCAACTTAAAAATTATTGATACATTATGAGGCAGAGAAGTAGTAAATCAAAGGGGGAATACTGAACTGCATCCTAGGGTCATCTATTATCAACACAAAAATATGGATGGAAGGTGAATGCAGCACACATACCCATTCTAAAAGGAGGCAGATCTATATCAGTATTAGTTGATAATGGCCTGATGGTACTGTAGGCCTGAGTTTATTAGGTTTGTTTAAGCAAAAGAACTCTACTCTAGATTTTAAATGTTACGTGCCTTCATTAATAACAAAAATCACTCTGATTAAACAAAACTTGTCTTCAGAATACACTCAGGTATCTGGACTATGAAACCATCAGCAATTTTTATTTATGCATTACCACTTTCTGGATTACTAAACTTACCTGTTGGATCTCCATTGCAATATATGTTATAGTTTTAAACCTTTCAGAGTTTTGGTAATTGGAAAAATTCAAATTGTTTTACAAAAACATCTAGGGATCTGAATGTATTATCTTACGTTATTTGGCAAGGCCACATCAGACATAACTTCAGATTCTGCATCAATGATATGATATCCATTAGCTGAGCTGAAGAAAATCCTTAGTCTTTTCTCAGAACCAATGGACAGATCAACTGTCACTGGCTTATAACCAAGAGTTGGAAATACCTGCAAATATAAAAGCAATGTGGCCCAAAGGCCAAAATGACATTCTGTCTAATGCAAAAATTCCCCTAATGTTTTACCATATTTACAAGTTTATAAAATCCAGATGGCTTTTTAAATGACAATTGATCAATAGATTTGTGGCACCTAGGGCTTTACACAAGCTCTAATGACCAAATTGCCCTGATCCTAAGACCCTCATATAGCCCTACTCTCTTGTTGGTTGTACTTAAATTCCTTGCCTTTAGCTTCAGCAAATGAAGGAGCTCATCTGGTCTCTTAAACCGGTTCACTGGATCAGCTGCCTGAATTCTTGCCAGTATTCGTATATAGGCTTCATAGGACATGTAGTCTCCTTCGGAGTCTGCTGACTGATCAATGCATACTTGGTAAGGAATGAAAAGTGCCATACATGTTAACCTACTGCAGACAGAGTATACTCTAGGCTCTTATGGTTTCTAGTCCAAGGGAACAAAAAGACAAACAGGACTCTGCTAAGATTGCTGGCTGAGCATCATAAGTTTTGTGGTTATGAGGTGGGTTTGAGAGTAGAATGAGGACAGACAGGAACTGTGTATCAGGGTAGACAGATTGTTGGTGCTTATCCCTTTGATTTCCAGTTCCATACTAGGTAGCACTGACAAGTCAGCAGACACCCAAGAATAAACACATATCCAAATGCTGACAGCTGAGCCAAGAGCCAAATTAGGGAGATCAGATTTGGGACACAATATTTGTCATGGCAGACCCAGACTGCCCATATAAGCAGTCTGTGCTGTCTATAAAGAGGTATGTTGTACAATTCTTCTTGAGGAGTACTCACAAGAATTATAACATGTTCAAGGTATATTTGTGATGTTTCAGTCTAGAAAGCAGACTATGTGAACTGATCCTGATCTAAGATGGGAAAGTATTACATGAATACCATGGTGAGGGCTACAAGGATGCATTCCTATCAGTTCTTTTTGAAAACCCGTGTATGGACTAACTAGTTCAGTGTCATCTAGAACATTTATTAAAGTCAGAGATTCTCAGGCCCCACTGCAGACCTACCAATTCAGTCTGGGGTTGGGTCTGAGATCTAAACATTTAACAAATGCACCAGTTGATTCGCACGGCCACCCTAGGTTAAGAGCTATCTGACCTGATAGAAAACTGCCATTTCATTAATCGACCCTTGGTGAAATAGAAGAAATACAAAATTGTCCTTTGTAAATGTAATTCTGGAGCATTATAAGTAATTTACTTATAGTCGTCAGTTTATGGGATATGAAAAAAAATCATCAGTCGTTAATTTGGAACACTAGATGCTTATATCCCATAAGTGACCCATACAAGGTTAGTTAATTCATAAACATGGAAAGAGCACTGGTGAGCTGAACCACCAAATAATAGCTCTACAGAATTGTGTTCATAGAGTTTCAGATGGGAAGGAATGCAGAACCTATCTTCCTTTCCCCTTGCCTAATGTAACAGATGTAATTGGAACAAAGGTTTCCTCGTCCCCTGTTCCAGTGGGAATTTCCTATCAGTTTCTCATTTCTTCTTACCTTCCCTTTTCCCTCCAACGTCTACAAAGAGAGAACAGGGACTTTCTCAGCTTCTAGCCATTGGGGTGGCACCTGAAGCCTGTGTTTGGGTCTCTAGAAGAGAAGGTCTTCATGTTGACTACAGGAAATGGGAGTGAGGAGCAGGTGGGGATGTCCTGTAAGGGGAGGGTTTGGGAATGTCCCTCAAATTCTCCCTTGCAGTGGTGCCTGTGGATTGTCTAGAAAGGGTTAAATGATAATTATTGATATGATATATTCAAATCGCATCAACTGTAGAATGATATAAAATTCTGCATCTATATTTCAAATACTATTTTGTTTTTAATTTCTTCTTGAGAGAAAAATAGTACGATTTAAAGGAGATGATCACTCACTTTTATAGCAGTGTTTTCATCAAAGGATTTGGGTGCCCACGCAAAAAGATGAATTGATGACTTCAATGCAATTGCAATATATGTCGTTTCTTCATGTTGAACTATGGTGATAAATACAAAAAAAATAATAATGCATTAGAATTAATAAGAAAGTGCAAGCATTTGTACCTGTTATCACAAATGAAAAAGCCACAATATAAGAGCAAGAACTGCATATATTTAGAAAAGCTACTTGACTAGAATTTGATCATCCTCATTCAATATTAATATTATTGCATAATTTCATGGATTATATGCATTAACATTCAAGAGTATCCTAAATTGCAAACTATAGCAAAATCACAGGGAAAAAAACCTCAGGGAAAAAAACCTTAAAGAAGATAAAGCACAGCTTGGTGGCTGTGGTGGTTTGAAGGAGAACTGCCCCCCATAGTCTTATGGATTTGAATTTTTGGCCTCAAATGATGGCACTGTCTGTGTAGGTGAGGAGAGGTGGCCTTGCTAGAGAAAGCACATTACTGGAAGTAAGCTTTGAGTGCTCATAGCCTTGCCCCATTTCCTTGCCTATACCTGAAGATGTGAACTCTTACCTCCTGCTATGCTTCTTCATTAATGATGGACAATTATTAGTCAGGAACCATAAACCAAATAAACTTGTCCTTCTATAAATTGCCTTGGTCATGATGTTTTATCACATCCACAGAAAACAGTGGCATGTACCTCTTTTCCTAGCATTGGGAGGCTCAGTCAGGAAGATTTTCAGTTTGAGGCTATCCTGGCCTGCATAACAAGAACCTTTCTCATAAATCCAAGGACTGTGAATGTAGATTGGTTGTAAAGTATTTGGGTAGCATCTGCAGGACCCTGAGTTCCAGCCTCAGCTGATTACTGCGGTATGAGGGAGAGTTGATTTTCTTTAAGAGACACTTGATAGGCTGACTAGACTCCAGTGGGTGAGGGACATCTGGGTACACAAACTTGACTCAATAGGCCTTAACATATATGACAGAATGTATGAAATCCAGTGGGGGGCTTATAGGGGTGCAGACGGAGAAGGAGTATAAAGATGTAAAGATGTCTTGTATGAAATGCACAAAAATTCAATAAACATATGCATTGAAAAATAAAATGTTGTCTTCTAAAAAAAATCTAAATAAATAGGAAAACACTCTATGTTCATGGACAGGTAGCCTTAACATTAATATCACTTTTCAAAGCAATCACTACAGATTAAACACCTGTTGAAATTTCAATTATTTGTAGACATTAAAAGGTTATTCCTAAATTTCACATTGAATTTTATTATTTATTTTTTATTCATTATTTTTATTTTATGTGTATGCATGTATTGCCTGCATGTAGCTAAGTGCACCCATGTTGTGCAATACCCACAGAAGACAGAAGAGGCTGTCGGATCCCCTGCAGCTGGAGTTATGGACAGTTGATAGCTGGCATGTGGGTGCTGGGATTTGAACCCGGGTCTTCTGCGAGAACAGTCAGTTTTCTTAAACCATTGATCCATCTCTCCAGCCCCATTCACATGGAATTTTAAAAGGTTCTGAATAACGTAAACAATCTCAGAAAGAATGTCAACGTTATAGTTCACCCATTTCCTGCTTTCAAAACTTACTCTAAATTGGTAACACTTAATAGAGTATTCGGCAATAAAGAAGAATAAGATTACATCATTTTCAGGAATATGTAGCTCTGAAGATTATCATATTAAATAAAATATTTGACTCATAAAGACAAATATCACATATTTTTTTCTCATACATGGAATCTGTGTTAAATTTTTTTTTAAAGTAAGGGGACTAGAGAGATGGCTCATTGGTTACAAGTAGAGGCCTCTTATAGAGGTCCTGCATTTGTTTCCCAACTCCCAAGTCAGAGGCTTAAAACAACTTATTACTCCAGCTCCATGAGATCTTATGCATTCCTCTTGACACAAGATGTGCACCTGCACCCTTCTGTGCACATACACATTCAAATATGCATCTAGACATAATTAAAAATAAAATACATATATAAAAAGATGGGCCATTAGAAAAGGTACTACTTAGGTAGAGAAAGTAAGCCAGGGCAAGGTGATGGGTTGGGACCCACAGGATAACGTGGGTGAATACGGTCAAAGTACATGATACACATGTATGAAAATGTAATAATGAAACCCATTATTTTGTAAATTAATATATGCTTAAAAGAACAAGTAAAAAAATGTCTATCACTTTCATAAAGTCAGATTTCTGATCAAGTTCATTGGCACAATTTTAAAGAAATATTTATTTACTTACTTTTGTTATTCCTGCATATATGTAAGTGGACCTGTGTGATGCAATGTGCACAGAGGTGAGAAGAGGATGCCGGATCCCCTGTAACTGGAGTTATGGATGGTTGATAGCCACCATGTGGGTGCTGGGATTCTAACCTGGGTCATCTCCAAGAACATCTAGTACTCTTAACTGCTGAGTCACCTCTCCAGCTCCCAAATTTTAATGTATTTTAAAAAAGTAAACATTGCAACAACAATAGGAACATCAAGAAAAAAGAGTATGGTACTGGTGAATAGGCACATAGATAAATGGAAAAGAACAGAGATTCAGCAAAAAAAAACAAAACAACTTAATATATCTTAGGTCAAAGATTCCAAACCACTCAATAAAGAAAAAAAAACCCAGTGTTTTCAATAAATGATTTAGAGACTTATGGTAAGCCATTTGCAAAAGAATAAAGCAGGAAACTGCCTTACAAGACATACAAAGTATTAAGTTAAAATGAATCAAATACCTAATTCATCTAATTGTCCAAACCTAACTCTAAGCAATTATCACAGACATAAGCTTGGTAACATTCTATATGGCAAGGAATTCTTTTATTTGATAGAGATTATAAGTGATGAAAGAAAAAAATATATAACTAAGCTTCATCAAAATTAAAACCGTTTGGGCATCATAAGATATAAGGAAAAAAAGTGAAATTGTGCCTGGTGGTGTGACCCTCTACAGGCAATTACTGAGGCAGATGTGCATTGCTAGAAGGAAGTCAAGTCTGGCCAAATTAGTGAAACTCTGTCTCAAAATATAAAGATGGCTGGAGATCTAGATAAGTGTAAAATGCTTGTTAAGCATGTGCAAGTAACCTTTTCACTCCCTTGTACCACAAAACAAAAAGAAAAGAAAAATGTGAAAGGAAAGAAGGAAATTCAATTCACAGACCAAAGGAAGATATTTGCAAATCATACATTTGAGAAGGTTCTGGTATATAGGATATTTAAAGAGTGCTTATAATTCAATTCAACAACAGGACGAAACACTAGGCAACGATTTCAATACTTATTCTTCCAAATATGATATAAATATGTTAAAAATATTACTAACCAGAAAAATGCAAATTGAATTATAATGAGAAACTAGTATAACATCACTAGGATACCTAGCATCACAAGAAGAGACATCTCTAAGTGTTCAAATGGATACAGAGAAAATGCAAGTCTTATACATTACTGCTGGAATATAAAATTCAGCATCTGTTTTGAAAAGAATCTGGAAGTACTAGCCAAAAAAAGGAAAACATATATACGTGTGTGTGTGTGTGTGTATATACACACACACATATATGCGTGTGTGTATACAAAGATGTACATAAATACAGCAGCATTATTCCTAAAAGGCCCCAAAATAGAAAGCATGCAAATTAACTAATACATGGATACATAAAACTAATATGTCTATACAATGCAATACTATCCACACAGGAAAAAAAAGAAATAAAATATTGATGCACATTGTGTAAGATACAACATGGTCGAGTCTTAAGAACATTAAGCTAGTTTAAAGAAATATGTCACAAAGTACTACATAAAATTCATGGATATAGTTCTATTTCCCATCTAGGAATGGCAAATATACAGGGAGATAACATAGATCAATGGTTATCTACTATTGTGATGAAAGATGGCGAAAAGGGAAAGGGAAAAAATTGTGTGTGTTAATAAATGGAGATGTCTTTGGTGAAGCAAATTGGAAATTTGATGAAAATAATATCATAATAAAGGTTACATATCCCTAAACAGGTTAAAACCATTGAGTTTTCTACATTAGACAAGTATATTTCATAATATATAAACATTTTCTATAGAACCATTGTTAGGGAACATAAAGTATACAAAGCATATGCTTGCTTTATATTGATTCCTGTGGAATATCTTGTCTAATCTGACATATTTATACTTTATACTAACATCCTGTTTCTTTGGCTGGGAATAGTGCTTCTGTACTGATTCCCTCAAATATTCTGTCTTTTGCTCATATTCTCTCTCATTCTCTTATTTTTTCTCTCCTACCAGTCTACTTGTCAATGGAATAAATGATTTTTGGTTGTTCCAGATAGTAGTATCATTTGTTGAAATGGACTCAGCTAGGAAAATGGACACAAGTAGTCCATTCACCTAGACCGAGTTTGTAAAGGTATCACATTGATAAAAAGTTACCAACTTAATTTGATTTCCTTATACAATATAAACACCTGGATCAATATCTTGTAATATCTTTCACTTCTGAGGCTATCATATTTATGTAATATGATTGGAGAGGCTGGAGGTATCTAAAGCTAGAAGAAAAAGTTTCCTTTGTGTTTCAGTTTTCTAGGTACTCTTTCCTTCATTTAATGGAAAATGTGTACAATGTGAAAGACTCTTCCTGGGAAATCCAGCTTATGTGCAGAACAAATGTGGCCAATGATGACAGAAATATCTGCTTGCAATTCATACAATACAATTTCAGCTACCTTACACCTATATTGTAATTTTTGTCTGAAGAGGGAACGAGTTCAGTACAAAAGAAAACTAAGAGTAGAGTGGATTTGATTCAGGAATTGAAGACAAAAGGATATCATCCCTTCACAGTTGCCTCCAGCTGAGACCAGAATCCTAAGACCAATAGGTTATTATTCTATTTTACAGAGATACTTGTGAAGAGATATAGACTATGAACACACAGTACAATGAAACATAAAACAGTAGGAGCAACAGTCAGTGGATACCAAATACTATTTCTTTCGGATGTATCATAAAGTTTCCTAGTGAGTATTAGAAAAGGATCCTATTTTATTGCCATTCAAAGAAAATAAAGTATCATATGAGTCACTGCAGGTAGTTGAAGCTATATCAAGAACATTTATAGTAAGGAAAATATCATATCACTTTAGAATATTTAGAATGACTAGGGAAGGAAGAAAGTTGAAGTAAAGAAAATTTAACTCCAATAGCTATTTCAGCCAGTGTTATTTTAGCAGAAAAGACACAGAAGATACCTCAGTGAAATTCACTCATATATTCATTCAAATTTGCATATTCTTTCCTTTCTTCAGTTTACCTTTTATAATTGTGCATCTAATGCTCTGAGTTCTTTTTAGATCATATAAATATTCACTTTCTAAAATTATGCTCTTGTCCATATGAAGGGCAACAGAAATTATAAGCTATTAGATGTGAAATGGGACATACGGACACTGAAGTGTTCACAGCCAGTCAACTTATCAATAGCTTTACAAGCTTCCTCTGTCTTCAGCATTTCTTTCTGCCTTCTTTTACTTTCTGGATCATTATTCAATATCTTGTTCCTCAGCCAAGTCAAATGATACACCCGAAGTCTGTTCTTGTGGCCTGATGAGAAAACATAATTGCATTTCATTTCTATCTGACTTTTTACATCCTACAAGTACAAAAATTAAGGGTAAATTGTTCTCTTAAGCAAATATTTTAATTAAAATAAAAATACCATAAAAATCCACGTGATAGTAGAATCTTATGCTTAGAGTTTGGAATTGTGTTTGTGAAGTCTGTATTAGTCTCTCAACTGCAAGAGACAGTCACAGTGTCTACTAGCTACCTGTGTGCTTGTCTGAAGTGAATCTAAAATACTTCATTGGGATAGGTTAGGGCTGCCACTAAGCAGATTATTATTCCTATATTCAGACTTTATTCTCAACTACTATTCCTTCATTCAGACTTCATTCCCCCAATTACTATGCCTCCATTCAGACTTTACTAAGTTACCACTTTTTGGAGTTCCTAGGCATAGAGTTTGTTCCTGGTAGTACCTTTGGATTGAAAAGGTGTGTGACTACTGTCTGATTAGTCTTTAGGTTCAGTAGAATGGATCTCTTTGTTTTTTGTCAAGCTAGCATGCTTATAAACTAAATGAATACTTTAAATTTTTATTTATTTATTTATACTTATTTCATGCGTATTTTCTATATGTAAGTGCACCACATGTGTGCAGTGCCCTCAGAAGCCATTAGAGGGTACCAGATCCCTTGGACCTGGACTTACAGATGGTTGTTAGCTGCCAGGTGGGTGCTGGGAGTCCAACCCTGGTCCTCTACAAAGCAGCTGGTGCTCTTAACCAATGAGCCATCTCTCAAGCCCTCTAACTGAATACTTTTAGTATTTGTTTATTCAGTTTAATTATCTTTTTAATTTTATTCTTGTATTTAAATTCTTCATTATTTACACATATTTATGGTGTACAATGTAATATTTTTATTCATGTAGACATTTAAGTAGAGACCACCAAAGGGAAATTAGCATATTTATTATCTTAATTAAAAACATTTCTTTAGGGGCTGGAGAGATGGCTCAGCAGTTAAGAACACTGCTTGTTCTTGCAGAAGACCCAGGTTCGAATCCCAGCACCCACATGGCAGCTAACAACTGTCCTAACTCCAGTTGCAGGGGATCTGACAGCCTCTTCTGTCCTCCATGGGCATTGCATGACATGGGTGCACTTACCTACACACAGGCAATACACGGATTCACATAAAATAAGAATAATAAATAAAAAATACTAAAAACATTTCTTTATGGTGAGTACGTTGAAACTCCTCTCTTGTACTTCAAGATACATGTTGCATTAATGTTATTTATGTGCATCTACTATGATATAGAATGCCAAAATGTATTCTCCTTATTTAAATTTTATACAGACTGCACATGTTGCTCTACTTCTCCTCTCTTCCCCCTCTCCCATTCAATCCAGCTTCTGACCCTATACTAGACCTCTTTGAAATAATTTTTTCAAAAAATTCTACCCATGAGTAAGATCATGTCTTTATTGCTAATTTACTAGTAAAAAACCCATTCAGATTCTTATGAATTTATTTAGTCAAGAACTAGAGACCCTGTAGTGACTTCAAATTCATTTATCTTAGTAATTTTTAATACAATTACAGTATTTCTAATTTTAATAATAAGAGTGGTATGTAATGTGATTTACTGTTACTGGATACTATGTTCTTATAGAACATTTTTCAAGAATTGCTAGGGCTCATAAAATCATATGTATGGTTATTTTATTCTCTTTTACAAGTGATTTTTTTTTATTTTTAACTATGTATATATTTGTATGTCTCTGTATGAGATTGTGCAGGTAAGTGTGGAAGCCTATGGAGGCCAGAGGCACTGGAGCCCCTAGAGCTCAACTTTCAGGCAGTTGTGAGCCACTTGACAGGGGAGTGAGGACTAAACTCTACTCCTCTGCCAGAGTAGTACATTCTCTTACCTTTGAGCCACCTCTCCAGCCCCATGTCATTTTATACTTAAATGGTAAGTTAAATTATCCAGTAACTTCCTTTTCCATCCTTGAAAACTCTTTTCAGAGTAGCCTCTAAGGATTCTCATCTTAGGATAATTTTTTGGTAATGTTTGATTTAAAAAAAGTAATTTGTTGGCTGGGGAATACTTGCTTAGCATGTGCAAGGTCTAGATTTGAAACCCCAGCACTGAAAAAACAATAAAATCACATTTGGGTGAAGCTCAAGCATTAATAAGGGCACATCTGGATTAGAAAAAAAATAGATATAGAAATCTGCAATCCAGATGTTTAGTCTCTAAGATACACAGATACTTTGAAGACTAAGCATTGCTTCTGTGTACCTGAAATAATCAGATTGGTCATAAAACATGTCTAAAATATTAAGTCTGAGTTTACCTACAATAGATTTTGCCTCCAATCAGAACTTGAAGCAACATTAATCATATGTAATCAGTGTACAACATGGCAATTTTCACACTAATATATTCTACATATATATGTTATGTAATATAAAATCTTATATAAATAGCTGTGGTTAAATATGATTTTATTCAGTGGCTAAACTTTATTTTCAACTTTGCAATTGATTTGTCAATCCTCTTTTGCTTTTCTGATACCAAGTCCTGTTTAGTAATCATAGTTACTGTAACAAATTTATTTGTTTTATCATAGTTAAAGTTACAGGGTTTGAATAATGACATTTATGAAAATCAACTAGTGTCTGGTAAAAGATGAGTGGCTTTAGGGAATCCATTCTTGTAACTAATCCTATCTCTAAGGTCTTGTGATGAATCTGTGAAAGGGATAAGTCCTCACCCACCCAATTATTCACCCACTTTGTTCTTTGTTGCTTCTAACATATCGAAAAGTAGATGGCAGATAGTGGTGTGGTCTTTTGTGTATGAGTGGGTGAGATTACAGCTCATAAAATTTGGAGGCTACTCTGAAAATAATTTTCAAGGATAAAAACAGTGGTTTTTTAAAATCTCCAACCTAGATTAATGCAATAAGATTAAACTGAATTGGTTTAAATCGTAAATGGATATGAAAGCACAAGAGAAAGCTCTGGTGTCCCAATTAAAAGTTATATTTAAAACATTTTCCTATGAAAGCTTTCACCTAAGAAGGTCTTTAACCTAGTTTGTAGTGTAATTATTCTGCTTAATTGCTCAGTTAATTTTAGTTATTAAACAAACCGGAGATGGTAATCAGCAAATTGAGTTCCTCCACGACTTGAATCTGCCGGAATGGTCTTCGCTTTATAAGTTTAATAACATCTGCCTTTCCACTTCTGTCCATCAGATACAGATTAGATCGGGTGCCCAGCAACAAATTGACTCCTGTTATGATATAAAAAGAAAAGTAAAATATTACCTGATTATTTTTATTCACATGTATGTTTCACTATGACATTTTCATTTATTTTAAAAAATGAACTTTCATCATAGTTACCTCCATTACCATATTTTCCCCATTTCCTCCCTCTGGAACTCTTTCATGTCCCTAAAAGTCTCCATTCTACTTTCAGGACCTTAAAAAACCCTAGGCTCTGTACATGAGATAAAATGTGATATTTATCTTTCTGACTCTGGCTTATTTAAATATGCAGTTAGGTTCTCTTTTCCTACAGACAACATTATTTCATTCTTCTTCATAGCTGAATAACACTCCACTGTTAATTTCTGTATATTCCACATTTCTTCACCCTCTTATCTTTGAATTGTGTAGTTATATATATAAAATTAGAGATATGGAATTTTCTATAATTTTATGCATATGTTATTTATGCTATTGAAGTTTGCTAATCTATATAAAGATGGCTTTTATCATTTCAGGCTAATGATACATGATAGTTTAACTATTTACTCCCTACTAATATAGTACATTTCACTGAGATTTGTAAATATCCTATAACATACATTAGAAATATTCTACTGTTTGATATCTAGTGTGTCATGTGATAAAAAGAACGTTATGTATATTTTAGCACATTAATACAAATGACAGAATATATGAACTCCAGTGGGGAGGACATGGGAGGATGCCAAAGGGGAAGGGATTATAAAGATGATTTTATATATGAAATACACAAAAATTCAATAAAAAATCTCAAAAAATTGCCCAAAGTCTTGCCAAGCTCAACACCTCGTTTGAAAATTACCTTTAAACAAATTTAGTCTAGGAAAAAGTTTAGTTCATTTCATTTTCTAGACTTTAAATAAATTCTGGGTTGATGTTGGACTGAAATATTCATGTGTTTTTGATTGATACAGTTAGAAAACCACTGATTGTGACCATCTCAGTATTTTCTTCTAAGGCATTCAGTCCATATAGTTCCATTTGCTATGTGTTTCTACTTTTAATTTCAAAACCTACCCTCAGTTCATGCAAACATTAAATAAAACTTGTATCAGTTCACAAGTCAGAAGTTGGCACTTTGGATGTTTACCCTGCATTAGGTTACTTTGCATCAACAGGCCATGCAAAGTATTTTGAGGCAGCTTATTATCTCAGCCCACCTGATACGGTTGTAATTCTTCTGAAACAAAGGGATCTGAAAGTCTATCAAATCTAAGACCTTGGACTTGCACTGGAGAATGTCCGGGGACACTGACTTGATCAGTGGGCCTTAACAGGGATGACAGAGTATATGGGTTCCAGTGGGGGGCAGACTATGGTAGGATGCTGGAGGGGAGAGGGGTACAAAGATGATTAAGGTTGTTTGAGATATTCTGCATGAAATACACAAAAAATCAATAAAAACACATTTTTTTTTAAAAAAAGAAAGAACTTTATAAATATTGTAGACTTAAAAGAAACAAGAGCCTATGGAATTATATCTTACAATATGTATATGGTAAATTAGAAATTATTAAGTTCAAAATTTAAATAATCATAATGATGTCCAATTTTATACTTCACTATAGTAAATTCAAATTAAAAAAGGAGGGCATGGGGCTGGAGAGATGGCTCAGCAGTTAAGAACACTGGTTGTTCTTGCAGAAGACCCGGGTTCAAATCCCAGCACCCACATGGCAGCTAACAACTATCCATAACTCCAGTTCCAGGGGATCCAACTCCTTTTTTGTCCTCTGCGGGCATTGCACAACATGGGTGCACTTACCTACGTGCAGGCAATACATGCATACACATAAAAAATAACAAAAAATAAAATATTTTAAAATAAAAAAGGAAGGCATTAATTCAACAAGACAAATCAATCCTGAGCAAATTACTATAAATGAATTTTCAAGTAACTGGTAATGATAAACATGTTTTATACCTATAACAATTATCACAAGTTTTCTACACAAAAATAGACTTAAAAAACCTACTAAGTTCCAAGAAACAAAACTCACCCCACAAAGAACCACAGCAGACTTCAGAAGTGAATTCTTTTTCATACATGTGGATTAGTGGTTTTTTACATGTAGGAGAGATATAGATTGGGTTAACATTGACTTCAGATGGTTGCTTAGGTGGTTTCTCAGGCACTTCAACAAATCCAGCATGTACTGAGAAGAAAGGAAAATAAGACAAATCACTAATCTATGCATGAAATGTGCCCTGCATTTCTACAACTGAGAGAGATTTGCAAATTTTGTTTTCTTTCACTTTTGTTTTTTATTGGAGGTGTCATTTTTAGTAAATTCTTAATCTATCAGAAAATACAAATCATAGTAGCTAAAACGCATTGCCAAAATGAATGTAATTTGTTGCTTTGATTAGTGTACTAAAATGAAGGACTGAATTCCAAATCTAGTCATCACAACAATTCAGTGAAAGTTGGATGTGGTAGCAAATGCCTGTAATGCCAACACTTCGGAAACAGGCAGGAGGATGAATTTAATACCAATCACAGTAATACAACCAGCTCAAGGCCAGCCTGAACTACATGAGAGCCCCCCGAAACCAAATCAAATTAAAAAGAACTCAGTGAGGAATCATTTCTGAATTATTACATATATTTACCTATATATGTATATGTATCTGTGCACACTCACTTATGCATGTATGCTATGATACGTTTGTGGAAGTACAAGGACAACATACTGGGCGTTGGTTCTTTTTTCCACCTCGTGGGTTTAAGGGATTGAACTTAGGTTTTCAGGGTTGGCAGCAAACACCTTTACCTGCTGAGTCATCTTTCTGTCCCAAGAAGTAAATTTTTTAAAGTATATACCAATCTCAAGTAATGTCAAATGAATATTCAAATTTTTAAAAAATATTTTATTTATTATTTTTATTTTATGTGTATGCATGTATTGCCTGCATGTAAGTGCACCCGTGTCATGCAATGCCCACGGAGGACAGAGAGGCTGTTGGATCCCCTGGAACTAGAGTTACAGATAGTTGTTAGCTGCTGTGTGGGTTCTGGGATTTGAACCCAGGTCTTCTGCAAGAACAAGTGTTCTTAATCGCTGAGCCATCTCTCTAGCTCCAATACTCAAATTTTTTTACTCGTTGCACATTATGAATTACTATATGAACAAGAAGTCATCATCACTGAAAAACCACAGCAGAAACACTCACGGATGCCACTGGCAATGTCAGCATCAGAAGCTGTCCCAGAACCTCTGGAAGAGGAGAGACTGATAGGAAAACCCAATCGGGTTGATGATTCTGATATGTCATTGTCATTCTCACCATCATGTGCTAGGGGTGCAATGTCCAAGGATACGGAGTTCGAGATCTCAGTTCCAGCATCTGACTCCTAGAGAGAGAAGAGAAACTGATCTTCAGTCTATTTGGTTAACAGCAGGAGAAATTTGTCTACAGGTAATTTGAAGATAGGAATGCAAAACTTATACAACTATTTAAAACTCCACATTTACTAAAAAAACACAATGAATTGAGAGGAGCAAGCTACTACTGAGACAGTATCGGAGAAGCAATATAAGGAAAATGAAGTTGCCAAATGTATAAATTGGGACCTAATATTTGTGGAAATATGTCTGGTGCTATGCTAGTAACCTTATTTCCATACCTCCATGAATACTTACAACAAAATAATAAAATAAAATCAGTTCCTTCTATTTTGTCATAAGGAACCCGAAATTTGAAAAAGTGAAAAGTTTTCAAGATCAGAGGTCTAGTAAATAGGAAAACTAGAGATTGAAACTTCCTGATTCTAAAGCGTATGTGCCAAATAACCAGCTGAATTTTTTAAAAAGCACAGTATATGGGCATGTTTTCATTAGCTTAAGAGATCTTCAGAGTTTGGCCCTGATGCACATGCCTATAATCCCAGCACTTGGAAGTTTGTTATCATCAGTTTGAGGTCAGCCTGGCCTACATAGCCAGACCCTGTCTCCAAAATAAAAACAATTAAAAACTAAAAATAAAATAATTAAAATAGCAAAAACAAAACAAGAAAATGGACAGTAGGAAAAAAAACTATAGGGAGAATTTTCAAATAATCAAAGAAAAGATAGAAAACCAACTTATACAAATTTTAGAGTGTAAATATTTCACTGAAAATTTAGTCTGCTTCCATTAACTAACAGGGTAGACACTCAAGAGGAAAAGGTACAAAATGTAACATTTATATATTCTATATGTGGAAAACTTATCAAAAGTCTGTGGAGGAGCTTTTTTGTTCCTGAAGAGTCATTTGTGGCTCTGAGAAAGTGGGACCAGCTTGTCTAAGATTGGTTTTTATAACATTTTCAGCTACAAATGCATGGCAGAACAGCAAATACTTTCTAAGTTTAAATGAAAGGGACATTCATTTATTCTGAGTATTTCCAAATCATCCCTTAATACATTAAGATAACTAGAGATACCCAGCAATGCTGTGCAATTTATATTAAGATATCCTGTTTCAATGACAAGTTAACATAATAAATTATACATGATGTGTGGACTCAACTGTTTGAAAACTTTGTCTGTTGGTAGTGCTGTTTTGGGGAATTTCATGGAATCGCTGGGAGATGAGTCCTTGTTGGAGGAAACACCTCAGTGGCGTCCTGCTTTGAGAGTTCATAGCCTTGTCCCACTTCTAGCTTGCTCTGTCTCTGCTTCCCGTCAGTGCTTGAAGATGTGAGTGCTTATCTTTCTGCTTCACCTGCCTTTGCCACCATATCTCTCTGCACAAGGGACTCTGATCCCCATGGAACCATAAAACCTGAATAATTCTTCTTTCTATAAGTTGCCTTGGTCATTTTGTTTTATTGTAACAACAGAAAAGTAACTAATATATAAGTAGAATATGTGAGCAAATTAATAGAAAAATTCAAGAAGAGGTTAGATTTATATTTATTTTCTTTTCATATTCTTGTGGGACAGAAAATACTTAACAAATAATTAACAAAAATGTCATTGTACTAAAGGATGACTATGTACAAAGTGTTTGCAAGCTCAGAGAGAGGGGTCATAAACATGTAAAGATGGTTGAGTTTGGGTCAAAAAGGATCAGTGAATCAACATGTATTGAAGAAGTAAGGAAACAGCCTTATAGATAGGGCCTTCAGATAGCACAAAACACTAATTTATGAAACAAGAATGGCATCTTCAAAGCCAGTTTGTGTGACAGAGCAAGAGGCTAGAAAAGTAGAAAGATTCCTAACTACATTTTCAGCTGTTTAGATTGCCTATCTGTTAAGAATAATTCAAATACTATATGATCTAGGAAACTTATGACTCCTATTCATTTAGAATCCATGAAACCACTTAATTATTTTTTAAATATCTTAATTTCCTTTTTAATTGTGTGTGTGTGTGTGTGTGTGTGTGTGTGTGTGCCTGTCTGTATATGCATGTCAGCTCAGTGCCCATGGAGACCAGAAGATGACATTGGATCCCCAGGAGCTAGCGTGGCAAGTGGTTGTGAACTGCTTGGTGCGGGTGCTGGGAACTGAACTCAGGTCCTCCGGAAAAACAGCAAGTGCTCTTACACATTAAATCATCTGTCTAGTCCCTTAATTATCATTATTTATCATTATTGTTAGTTTAGTATTTAATATTTCATTCTATTTTCACCTCGTTTTTACTCATTTTGATTTTTGTGAATTTCATATAACTCGATCTTATTTAGATCCCCTCCTGTATCCACACCCCCCTGCTGCTTGGAAAGGGAGATTCAGTTTCGTTTAAGGGTGAGACTCTTAGTAGGTTGAATAAGGTCAACTGAATGAACCCACACCACAGGGTATTTGGAGATACAAACATGTATCTCCAAATTAATTATTTTAAATCTAGTCATAATGTCAATAAATGTTTTGTGAACTAAAATATTTTTGTGTAGATATAGTATATTACATCAGTTAAAATAGTATATTTTCAGGTTGAATGTCATAATTCACTTGCCTAATATATGCAAGACCCTGGGTTCAATCACTAGCATAGAAAAAGAAAACAAATATGTATTAACTGCTCCTAAAATGTTAAATATATACTACATGTGGTGTAGTAATATTTATTTTATTCCATTTTATACTCCTCAAAAAATTGAAAGCATGGACTCAAAGAGATACCTATAGACCAGAAACTTATTAATGATAGCCAAAAGGTGGAAATAACCCAAACAAAATGTGGCATATTTTATATATATATTATTGCCTTATTGAATATATGCATTACTGAAATATATATAATGCATTATTGAAACTTAAAAAATAAAGTCTGATACCACATGATGAACCCTGAGAATACCATGGTAACTAAAACAAACTATAATTGAGGGAACAGAGAGTGTATGATTTTACTTTCATATGGATAATCAGACAACATTAGAATACAGGTTATCAAAGGTCAGGTGAAAAACCAGGAGTTAATTAGTTGGAAATGTAAAAAAGTACCAGCCTACATGTCCATCAATTGATAAAGCTGATAACAAAGATGTGGTATGTGCATGGGGAGGATTCCATTTTATTAGACTACAAAGAAAAAACAAATTCATGAAATTTTTATGATGGATGTGGAAATTATTATATTCCATGATATAATCAACTCAGAGAGATACATACTGTATGTTATTTATGATATGAAGATCGTAGAAACATTTAAAAATATTTTGTATGTATAGATCATGGAAGTAGAAGGAATCACGAGAGGGGAATATTTTAAGAAAGGGTAGAAGGAATAAAGGGATAACAGAATACATGTGACATGAGGGCAGAATGGAGGCTATTGGAGGGAGAGAGGGTGCAACTGGAGGGGACAGGGCGATGGGCAAAAGGACAGGAGGAAGAGGAGGATCAGCAAATTGAAGTACTGTAAAAATGCCATGATGAAACCCATCACTTTATATGTTAAAGTTCCAAAGTTTGAGAACTAGATAATGCTTATAGTTTCACAATATTGTGGGATGGACTAAATGACACTGATTTGTACACTTAAGATAGAAAAATCTGTTATGTGTGTTTTGCAATTGAAAACAATATTCCCAGAAAATAAAACTGAGTGTTTTGAGACACTACCCTAACAAAGAAAGCTGATGTAAAAACGACAAAAATAAGGGACTTTTGTCCTTAAAAGTAAACAGGAACCATCACAATTACATACAACATCTACCCATGTACCCTTCATTGAAAATGTTTCAGGCTTTGGACAAGAAGGTTATAATCAATTTGGAATAGCTCAGAATGTTACATATCATGTGCTGATTTCTATGTTTCCAAATGGTTAATTACCTCCTGTTCATGGTCAAAGTCCCGGAATTCATATTTCTGCAGCTCTGGACCATCTTTCTGTGAGCAAGCTTCTTCCCCTCTGAGTCCAAGGAATCCATTCTCTTCATTGCTTCCACTGACATCTGTATCTCTGTGAACTTTTACATTGCCTATATTAGCTCCAGCTCCCAGATTTCCCAAGGCTGCACTGCCTCCACTGGCAGTATTTCTCTGGTTACTTTTGGCTCCGCTGCTTCCATAGCCTCTGACAGCTTTCCATTTTTCATCACTTCCATCACTACCAACTTGCATGAAGATTCCCTGTGTGCCATAGCTTACCCTGATAACAGACAAGTTAACAAAAGAATGTGATCCAGTAAAAACACAGGTCGAAGTCAGCAAATGAAACAGAATTATAATTTGTGTTAAAGGTATGAACCATATATATTCAGGAATGCTTTTGGTTTTATGTGAAGGCTTTGGTATTATATAGACAAAAATACCCCAATGATCTGCCAATATTAAATACTGAACAAAAATCATAGCCACTGTCAATACTTTGTCTTCATTTGGATGACTATAGGAAATGAACTTCCCTTTGTTTTTATGTACATATGGCTGATTAGCAACAGAAAATGCACCTTTTCAAATAATAGACTATACAAATAAATTTCACAAGCACATTACTGATCAAACTCACATAATATTATAATATTTTTCTTTCAATATTCTTGATTATGGTAATGTTAACATCTGCTTGCACTGATTTACATGTCTATTGTCTGCTTTATTGTAGAATTCCTTTGGTCAAATTCGCTTACCAGGAAGTTCAGGCAATATAGGCTTCATAATTTAAGAACCAATATTATCATTTTGTGAGGATTTTAATAGTGCTAAAGCTTTAAAAATGCTCAGCAACCTTTTTGCATAAGAGATAACATCGAACCTATGTCCCCAGGGTGATTATAGATGCAAAGTTATGTGGTACTTGAATTCTATGTAGATATATTTACTTGAAAAAGCCCCAAAAGATCTCTTGCTAACTTCTCAACTAATTTAAATTAACCAAGTAAAGATCATCTCTTTCCTTAGGGTGAGTCTATGAACAGTATTGATTTGAGTATTTTATATAATGTATTTTGATCATATACTGCCTCTTACCTCTCCCCAAGGTGCTTGTGATAGCGTGGACAAGACCTGTGCAAACCCAAGCCAGACAGAGGCCCAACAAGTCTCAGGGAGGTGGGCAGGAAGATCTAGCCCCAGCTGAGGACCTACTGGTAGTTGATGGATGTTGGGGGAGGAAGAGTCAATTTTCCTTACTGGTATAATGTCTGGTAGATTGACCAGACTCCAAGGGATAGATCCATGCCTGGCTTTTTTAGGTGAGTGCTAGGGATCAAACTTCAGGTACTCATGTTTGTGTGTCAAGCAATAATTACAGATCATCTTAAGTTTAGTAGATGTGTCAAAGTCACAACTATTTGAGAAATGCACAGCTATATTCATAAATACTTATAAAATATTTCATATTTTACTCTATTTCTCATTGTGATCTTTAAAGGGAAGGAAGATTTCATGGTACTAATTTTAACACACAGAAAATTTCAGTTGTAAAGAAGCTAATAAATAACTGAATATAGATACTATATAATTCCAAATTAAGTATTCTGCATGAAAAACTTAAATTACATATTGAAAATTTACTAATATGAAAGTATAATTCATTAAGCTTCTATTATATTTAAAAATAAACCAAATATGCAAATAATCCTGAATTCATAAACATCCATAGTATAATAATACACACAAACCCACCTTGGTCCATCATGATTATCATTTATGTCATGAACAGACTCATCTTTGTAGTTATCAACATCGTCTTCACAGACATCATTTGCTTGATCAATCTGGTTATTCAAGCCATCATTGCCATTGACATGGCCATAGGTATCTTCATGAGCATGATTAGAACCATTCTCATCACCATCAGTATCAGCACCAGCATCATAGAGCTCAACATAATCACCATCCTCTTCAGGTTGCTGAATGACAGGTGCAGGAATTAACCAATCATCCCAGAAGATTTCAGAGAGTGCATTATAGCCTACCCATTCATTTGTCAAGTATACAGGGGGTGATATTTTTCCTACTTTAAATCCATCTGGAACCTGTGTGCACAAGAAAGGTTAATGTAGTATCTATTAACCTCTTGTTTTCTTCTAGATTGGAATTTTTCAAGATTATAACAATTAAAAATATGTTCAAATATATTCTTGATTAAAACAAGGTGTCCACTCACCAAGCAGAACAAATATTTCAGTGAGGATGAGATGCCAAAACCCAGGCAGTAGTGATTATTAGTGGACTTTGAGGCTCACATAGCAAAGTCTACTCACTTTTTTTAAATTAACCTTATTTGCCTGCTGGGGAGTAGACATTTGCTTCTGATGCTGGAGAGTATGGTCTACACACAGTTTTTCTTTTGTTTTATCCTGACATTGAGATCAAGGCATGACTTTTGAAATAGGTTATTTTCCCATTTTTGTCTGTATATACTATAGGTTATCTTAAATTATCTCAAACAACTCTCAAAAGCAAACGAGTACAAATGCAACTGCTATGCTGTGTGTCATATAGGAACATCTGAACCAGGGAAAGTGTATCATAGAGTAGGAGAAATTATTAAAATAGAATTAAATTATCTGCAAGCACACTGTAAAAGCTTCAGGCAAATTTTACTTGTGTAATCAGAAGATGCTTTATTTTTCACTCAGAGTTTTACTTGTTTTGTTATTCAAGGAACACTTAAAGTTGAACATGCAACTTCAACCTCTTAGCCTGAGCTTAGCTTCTAGAAGTACCTGTTTACCAAATCTTCTTTCTGCTATACTCTATTTTTGCTTTGTGTAGTACTGTGATTGAACCAAGGACCTTGAGCATGCTAAGCAAGCATTCTACTACTGGGCATATATTCCCTGTATCGCTCATGAATACATCATGACACAAAAGCATAAAAATAAAACGGTACCTGATTAATACACATCATCTGATTTCAATTTTAACGTATAAATTTTGTATTCTGGATGCTTGCTTTAAGAATGTGATGTATTTTAAAAAGATTAATATGAAAAGTTATACCCTTTAAACTGAGCATTTTTAAAGTGAGAAAGTATAGGTCAAAACAAACTGAAACTAAAAATAGATGTAAATATGTTATAATATAAACCTACATGGATATCAATCAGTAACTCCTGATCAATAGTTGAATAAGGCGGTGATGACTGGGACTTCCTCCTAACTACAGGACTCTCCTCCTCAGAAGATGATTCTATGGAACAGCGAAAATACATTAATAACAATTGCGATTTCAGTGACTGCTTTCATTTTTGTAGTGTACCAATTTAATCACTTGCTTTTTCTTGCAACCTTTGTAATTCCATTAAGGAAATATCAACTTATTGATAATTATGGGGCCAGGATCGTAAGTTCTGATTTCAAAGGTAGTAACATGCTTAAGTTTTGTGCATTCTGTGGACCTATAAAACATCCTAGTCTTCAATATTTACTGTACACTTGATAAATATTTCTGTGTAAGAAAGTACAAAGTAAGATTCAGAACCATGTAAATTCATCAGAGATCAAAGAATGTATCAAGAATTGAAAGGGTGGTGAGTTCCAGTGCACATACATGCTAAGAAGGAGAAAAAGAGAGGCCCAAAATATATTTAGAAGATGAAAGATTAGTCTTGACTCTGGATTTGACTACAACTTTAAACCTTCCCAGTTTTTATACAGTGATATAGTCTCAAGTATTTAAATAAAAAGGAGTGAACAAAAATCATAGAAGTTAACAAATTTGTAAAGCTGGAAACTATAATTGATAGGAAATAACTTTTGTGAAATAACTTTATACAGTAAATGAAATATTCTTTTTTGTCTTATGTGACAGAGCATTTGAAAGTGCTGAATCCTAACCACTAGACCACAGTACACTTTACATACACTGAGGCAAAACACTAATACACATGAAAAATTAATAAATTAAAAAAATTTAAACTCAAATGTACATCATACATAATAAAATATTTTATTGAAATTCCAAAATCTGTGAAGATACCTTAATATGATTTGGTCAATTAACCTTTTATGTACTCTGAATAAAATCATCAGTCTGTAACATTTAGGAAATATTTATGAGATATTATGTATATGATATTTTTGGAGGTGAAATAAACTGATAAGTAAAACTCATTTTCACAACAATTCTCCTTAACATTCTAAAGGTTGCCTAATATATTTTGCCTAATTGAGGAATATTCTCTAAAGTTTCCTTCATGTATTTCTTATGCAGTAAGGGAACTAAAGAGTAATCGTTTTCCATTTCTCAGAGGTAATCACTAATCACTTAAATACCAAGTCCAGTTGCCTTCTAGTCCTAATATTATTTAGCCTCACTAACATTTTTTCATTCATTCCTTCTTGAAATTATTCTTGACTTCTGTATTATAAACTGGTAAATATTAGGCCTGTGTTCTGACTGTTGAAAATTTGAGATTTTAATCACCTGATGCTGCTTGGCAATTCTGAGGATTTTGTGAACGCCTCTGTGTGATGTCAATGGGCTTCTGAGCTTGCTCCGAAAAGGACCGCTGAGAAACACTGATAAAAAGACAGAAAAGCACGTGCCATGTCCTAACACGCATAAATGGTATGTACAACTCAACGTAGAAAGCTTTTCTTAAAGTTACTGTGCATCACAATGAAAAAGTACTTATTTTCTTCTAATTTCTGCCCTCCCAAACCCTGCTATTTTGTCTATAACAGAAACAGTTTCAAAAAGATAGGAATTTAAAAAACCACTTTTCAATGTAGTATATATTTCCTTCGCATAAAAACTTTCTATAAACTCTTAAGGTAATGTTCTTATTATTACCTGGATAACAGCAAAAAACCATACATAATCTTATAATGTATGTGAGGGTTTTCACATGACAATATTAGTTATTATTATACAAAATATTTCACTATTATCCTATTTTAAATGCTTATAATTCATGTTTTTAATATCTCACTCAAAATTTCAATAGGTATAGTCTGGATAGATAGGTACAGTACTTTAAGTAGTATTCAAATTCACTTATAGTATTCAAATTCAAAGGAGACTGTTGATAAATTTTATTTTTGTTTTAGGTATTCTTTATGGGATTTTCTTTGTTGATTTAGGCTTATAACTGGAAAAGATGTTAGTATTGCTTGGCATTTTAAGAAAACCATCAACTTTCATTTAAATTAATTTTATAAATTTAAAGGTGATGAATTTGTTATGTGTAAATGAAAAGTCCCTTGTGAAGTGAACAATCTCAATTTAACATTACGCTTATTTTTGTATACTGAATTCTATTAACATTATGCTCCACTGTACTAGAAGCAATTATTGAAAACTAAGCTGATTTCTTCTCTTTGAAGTCAGAAGTATCATCTGTTGAGTGTAGAGATAACAAGATTTTTCAATATTGATTTATAATATTTAAAACTTTCTCCACACGAGTTTAATAGGAAGACAAAGCTCTACGGTTTAACCAGCATAAAACAGGAAATGGGCAGGAGGCCACAACTTTGGTAGGAAATATTGGCAACTGATGATTGGTGGGTGAGGGAAAGGTTGATCTTTAAGTGAGTAATGCTTGACAGGCTGAACAGGCTCCATGGATGAATTCATACCAAGGGACATCTGGGGACACAAACTTGACTCAGTAGCCCTTAATATAGATGACACAATGCATGGTGTCTTGTGGATAGGATATGGGGGTGCAGATAAGGAAGTGGGCTAAATATGATTAAGGTGCATTGCATGAAAACCACAAAATTCAATTAAAATGATGTAGGGATATATATATATATATCTAGGAATTCTTTCCATCTGACCATACTTTCTAGTAACTTTAGTACTTTATTTGAATTTATCTTTTATTATATTTTATGTGTGTGTATGTGTATAGGAGCAAACATTCACATATGTGGAAGTCAGTGGACAACTTGAGGAAGGTAAGCCTTTTCCTTCTACCATGTGGGTCCAAGTAACTGAACTCAGATCATCAGGCTTGGTACCAAGTGTCTTTATCCAATGTTATCTGAGCAGCCCTATCTAGTATCTTTAATGCAGTGAGTGGTCATTAGATATTTACCTGAGGCACAGTCTAAATTAATATAGGTTAATTTTTCTCCAATGTGAATTTTTCTGGAGGGATCCAATTTTCAAAGAAAATCTACTTTAAAATACAGCTTTCCAATTCACTGCATAGTATATAACACCTACCATATGGAATATGATCTTTAAAAATTACTGAAATCAAATCAATAGTACTATAAAGATTAAAAAGAAAATGAAGAGGTACAATATTATATATGATGTCTTATTTATATAATATTGAGTCTTATATTTAATTTTGACCACAGAGGACATTTTCAGGCTTTTCTAGTCTATGACAGTAACTTCTATAGTTACAAATAATTTGTATTTGAGCATGTGGTACCTACAAGAAAACTCACTGGAAATTTATTTAGCCTTACAACTAATTAAATGATCTCAAATAATTAATTGTTATTACTTATTATATTTTCAAAGTTGTTACTAATTATTGATCTAAATGACATGGACAGGAACATGACCAAATATGTATGATTGTGTTAATGGATCACTATAGTCAAATTTTTTAAAATGTCAGCCTGTTCTGTCTACCTGACGAGTTTGTATTCATGCTCAGATGCCAAGGAGCTCAGAAGGTGGGTGACTGTGACCAGTGATAGTCATGTATATAGAGATTAGAAATGCATGTGAAAACGTCTCAATGTCAAGAGCCCTGAAATGAATTTTTCTGTATGAAACTGTGTGTTTTGACAACGCAGTGGAGATCTTTTTTAAACGTTGGAACCTCATTTAATTTTATGTCTTATAGAGTTTATAATGAGTAAAAGATTATATAAGCGTAATAATTCATCTGTAAACCTAGAAATGTACAGCCAATTTTGAAAGAGATGTACCCTAGCTCAGAAAAAATGTTATTGAATAGGTTAATGCTGTTGTAATGAAATGCTTCTTTTAATTAAAATAAAAAAAAATAGAAAAAAAAAAGTCAGCCTGTTGTGCCAAGTGGTCCTGATGTGACTGATAATTTAGTTTTGACTGCATACAGAAATTAATGTCAAAGAAACATTTTAATTTTCCATGTGACAAATATGAGTAATTTGAAAACAAAAACTAAATACACATACCTTGAAGAAAATTTCACACGATGTGTACGATCCTGATTGGAAGGCATAGATCTTTCTTGGGCCTTAGAGGTGCAATAAAATCAACGTATTGGTATAATTCTTGACAATAAATTCTTTTGAGTTATTACTACATTGGAAAATGCCTCTACTCATAAATATTTTCCTAAACATCTATGCTAAAATACTATTCTTATAAACAGATCTTATTTTCATAGTTACTTATTAACTTTGGAACTGTTTAACCATAATTTCTGTTGGTTTCTTTAAACTATAGCATAAGAATATAGTCTGGAAATCCTATAATCGAAATTTTCATTTTATTTTAAAATAATCAGTTTCTCAGGGAAGGATAATGATTTTTCTAAAAATGTACCAGGCAAAAGAACATCTAAAATTCTGTGTACTTTTCAACCAAAATTTAAGAACTTAAGTTCAACTTCTCATCTTTCTATACTAACTCAAGATTTTCAAAGGCTGCCACTCACACATAGAATTCATTAAAATTTCCTTTTCTATTTATAAAACTATCTTATTTTTTATATTTTTATTGAATTTTTGTATATTTCATGTATAACATCTTAATTATTTTTGTACCCCCCTTCCCCATAGGCAACTTCCCTTTGCCCCCTCCACTAGATTTCATGTATTCTGTCATTTATGTTAAGGTGTATCGAGTCATACACTTAACTTTCAATACATTATTTTTCTTTCTTCATGAAGTGATCTATCAAAGCTGTCCTTACACTCCAACAGATATATTTTTGAGAAAAACACTGTCAATCTTGAATACTCAGCTAATGAGTGATTTTAAATATAACCAGATGTTTTGTAGTATGCAAGATGTGCATCTACCTGAATAACTTTTCTATTTTTGATTTAGATAATTGGTTTTTGGTTTAAGAAGTGATCTCAAGAAGTTTTAAGTTTTTTTTTATTCAGGGCTGGAGAGATGGCTCAGGGGTTAAGAGCACTGCCTGCTCTTGCAGATGACCTGAGTTTGGTTCCCAGTGCTCACATGGTGGCTAACAACCATCTGTAACTCCAGTTCCAGGGGAATCTGACACTCTGTCCTCTGTGGGCACTGCACAACATGGGTACACTTACATACATGCAGGTATAATATTTCTACACATAAAAATAATTTTAAAAATTTATTCCATTACTTTATTTTATTTATTTATTTTCTATAAAGTCTCACTACGTTACCCAGACTGTCCTAAAACTGCTGGGCTGAAGTGATCCTCCTGCCTCAGCCTCTACCATAGCTGGGACTACAATTATGCATTGCCATCAAGCACACTAGGCTCGAGAAGCTTATTAACATTGTGAAATCTAATGCCAGTATCACTAAAAGCAGATCATGATCAAACATAAGAAAGCCAAGGCTTAATACGAGTTGTTACTCTTTGGTCTGAAAACTGGGAAGAAGAAAATAATTAGTAAGAAAAGCTTATGTTAAGACACATAATGCATTCCAAATCAAATATTATTCATTACAGTTCCAGCTTAGGGGCAAGCATAAGGTAATAATTACTATCTGAGAATACAATTAAAGTCCTATATTAAGGTATAGATGAAGACATTATTGACTATTCTCATTAAATCCACTTTTATGTTCCTTCTGTAAATGCTTAGGATTTATAAAGCACTACTCTTAGTTATTCACTTAAGAGGAGTATTAGTATCGATTCAAAAACCTTCAAATACTTCATAGTAGATTTCTCTGAAGCACCTTATGCAGATAATGTACAACCAGGAGACTCCAGACCCACCATCACAACAGAAGAGTTAGTGTTATTCACATGCTAACTAATCTCCTAGTGACCAAAAAGAATTTTGAATATTGACTGCAGGGGATGCTGAATATGATAATGCTACCTTTTTTGCATAAGAAGTAAATCCACCATCTTAGCCACACCAACTTGTTTACTGAATAGCATACTACTAATGAAGTCATCAAAAGAGAAGTCAACCTGACATTTAATGATTTAGTTATTCCTATGTAAGAAAATAAATCACAGATTAACTGGCTCAAACTAAGTCACAATTAGTGGACCAGAACAGGGACAATCAAGCAAGAAGTTAAATGTGGTTATGGTGTATAGTGAATTATGCACATTTTAATGTCCAATAATTTTATTTAATGAATGACTAAAATGAACTATTGAACTTTGTGCATTTGGTGTATATTTTAAATGACCCAAGTTTCTAAATTTAAGAAAAATCAAAGTGGTAGTATTTGTTAGCAATGATAAAACATGAGCTCTTAATGAAAAATTAGAAATTTTAAATTTATATCTGCCACAGTGTACTTGCCAGTCTATGAATGCTCTGTTACATTTATGGTGAAATTGGTAGTGATGTTAATAAAGGCTGTTTTGATATTGTATAATCAAGCATAAGCATTTGGGAACATCTGTACACACGGTGAGCTAATATTCTCCAACTGATGAATACCTGAAATTAAAAACCATGTATAAGCAAAACATCTATCCATAGCAAATGATAAGGAAATTGATTTTAATAATATTAATTATGCAAAATTTCATTACTATGCTGGGTGTGGTGGCACAAGCCTTTAATCCCAGCACTTGGGAGGCAGAGGCAGGGAGTTCTCTGTGAGTTCCAGGCCAGCTGGGGCTACAGGGAGACCCTGTCTCAAAAACACCAAAAAAAAAAAAAAAGTTTCATTAGTATTATTCTAAATTCTATTTGTCTAGTTTATGCATGTTATCAAAGAATATGGGCAATTATCTAAAAAACTCAACAATATCCCCAATTATCTGAAAATTCTATACAACTTTTCCCTCTCCAGCTACCTGTATTCAAGAAGACAATTCTTACACATATATTCCAACAAAACACAACATATGGCCACATATTGAATGCTGAAGTAGATATGACTATTCAGCTGTTTTCTGTTAAGGAAAATAGATTAAAGTGATCTGAAAAAAATGTGAAATGCTGACATTATCTCTAAAATGATGTTCTGTGCAAGATAGGTATTTTTTATTTAAATTCATTTATTATGCCCAAATGTATGTGTACTTTTTGGTTTTAGTTTTCAGTAAGTTAAATGCTGAATGACATAATTCATGTAATGAAAAAAACTTTCCAGCATTCTCAATATTTAAGATTATAAAGGGATCCAGAGACCAAAAAGTTTAAGAACCACTTTTCTAGGTACTTATTAATGTCATAACAACTATATTGAGAAATTTACCTCATTTCCTGTAGGGTTTGGAATGTATGGCTCTATTTGGACTTCAGCCTGAATTGAATGAAACACTTCATCATTGTCTGATGAATCATCTTCGTTGTCCTTTGAAACAAAAAAAGAACATAAATATTAAATTGTTTTTAGAATGCAAGTGATAGGAACAATTGAATAATCGTAATATATAACTGAAAAGAATAATTTCCAAATGCTTAAAAATGATTTATACCAGTAGCTTCTAATAGTTTTCAGTTATGCATCCCTTCCAGAATCTGAGGAAAATTATAAACTGCCCACAGAAAACTGAATATAGACACATATTTGCGTATATTTTCAGAGGAACTATTGGCTTCCTTAAGTTTATTCATGGAATATAGATTAAGAATCTGATTTAAAGTTTGATTACCACATAATGGCAACCTAACTTTCACATTTAGTAAGCTGTTGTAACTCCAAAGTTGGTCCACATTACTGAAAGATCCAAGATAAAGAGGTACAATTATTGTTCCCAAATTAAGCGGTCAGAGGTTAAGAAATTGTTTAATAAATCAAATTAGTCAATCACCCTTAGGTCTTCCATTTAAGAATTATGAGGAAAATGTGTGTATTATTTGCAACTGGTAATGTAAAGCACTCAGACATGTCTCTAAATTCTACTTAAATTTCAGATTATTTCAAAAGACATATCTTTCTAGTGTCAAGAATTCTATTTCTTTCATATTTTCTTTAAGGAACACAAAATAACAATATGAATGCAGTGTAAGAACCTTAGGCTCACAGGATTGGTAACAATTATTCACTGACTTTGATTTCTATTTTAAAATAGCTTTTCACATGTATATTAAAAAATAATGACAGTATGTATGTCCTATGCTGATAGTGCTAGGAATATTTCAGGGATAAATGCAAGCCTTTTTCAATAATGCAAATGCCATTAGCTCTAACTGGTTAGGAAAGCTCCTTGAGAGTAGTCATAAGTCTTAATTTCTGCGAAATATTCATCATTCCCGACTTATACCTAACCTTCTCCATCTAATTTCTTCTTTTAGTTTTTTTAAAAAAAATATTTATTATTTTTATTTTATGTGTACATGTGTTTGCCTGCATGTGTATAAGTGTACCTGTGTCATATAACATCCAAGAAGGTCAAAAGAGGGCATTGGATCCCTTGGAACTGGAGTCACAGATGGTTTTTAGCTGCTATGTGGGTGCTGGGAACCAAACTCAGGTCCTCTGCAAGAGCAGCCACTGCTGTTATTGCTGAGCAATCTCATCAGCCTCTCTTTGTATTCTGTGAGCTATGCACCAATTTCCCCTTTTGAGCCATTCCTCTCATGCTGCCTTTACCTATTTCATATGCTAAATCTTCTAGATAATTAGCAAGAGTTCAATTGATTCAATGAGCACAAGCCTAAAGAATTATTATTATTCAGGCAAGGTTCATTTGCAATTACTAAATCAATTATTATTAAATGTAGATGGACATTTAATTTAGTATCATCATATAACAATTCTTTTTATATAAATGAATATTGAGATTAGAAAACAACTATTTTTGCAATCTTTTCTGACATAATTAGTTTGCTTATCAAGTACACAAACTATTCTTTATCAGATTCAAGTTGTCAAGTAAAATTAAACAACACCAGTCAAATTCTATCCACTTACATATGAGAGTTTTGAAATATCAAGTTTTATTGACTGTTCCAAAATGAGACATTAACACACTGTTCTACGTTTCAACAGGTGCAGAGTTGAAACCTGTTTCATGGTCTGTGCAGCCACATCACTGATTAATTGTGTACACATGCTGCCATATTAAGGAGACAAGTCATTAATATGACAACTGTATACAAAGTGTTTTGGAACCTAAGATTTCTCCTCATTTTAGCCTGATTTAAGGATCCTGAAGTACAAATTAGTGTAATTCACACAAATAGTGTAGCCCTGCATTCTATGGAAAGAAATAACAAATAAGCAACTTATATTTTATAGGAATTAAAATGGAGGTTACTTTAGAATTTTAGTAATTTTAAGTGTGTGTATGCTATCCCTTTACCGGTTTAGGGAATAATTGGTAAAATAAAGCAAACACACACACACACACACACACACACACACAC